AAGGGACTCATTTTACAAAGTTGTGCATATGGAGCTTTTTAATCCTTTTTCGATGCTCTACAATCCTAGCTAGGTCTCAATGCTGTTCAGCCGGAACCCAAACTGGGTATAGTCCTTTATTCGCGTTATAATCTGCAGATATTTTATTTCTTCTGTATAAATCCTGATATTAAATAGATACAGGAGAATTCAAGCTAATCACTGTTAGCATGGCTAACGGGCTGTCATCGTGATGGTTTCTTGGGACGTCGGGTCTGGCAAAACATCGCGTTTCATAGAAAATTCGCGTTTCCAGGATAAACAACGATACCACGGCGCGGCGGTCAGTATAACCGAGTATTTTGTTACTATGTACCACCGCGCGGCTAAGGTTAACGGTGCAGCCGATCCGGCGCGAGCGCATCGAAGCGTGCCGAGACTTCTCCTTCGTTCGCGGTCCTGCATCACGGTTTGCCGCAGTCATCGTTAAACGCGCGAGAGAGGGATCTGACGAGGAGGAAAAGACGTGGAACGACCACGGGACGTTTCCCTATAACGATTTCTCGCCTCTTCCCCGCTCCTCGTTTCCGCCGACGCACAATATGCGCAAAAATAATGAACGCATAGCCAGGAGATCTTTCTATCGAAGAAATTAATTCGGTCTTGGGGAATTACATCGACACGTAGCGACGGTTAAGCTACTCGCAGACATAATTCACAAACCACAAAACGTTCGCAGAATGATATACATTCTAAACAATAGCGGTGTTTATATAATTCTCACTGTGTTGGTGTTAATACCGATATGATGTGGATTTAACATGGGTTTTAAAGCTATAATGATGTTGATATTAATATTAAATACCAGAGGTTTGAAATGAATGGTATTACACTAAAAAAAAGATTGACTGCTGCAGCAAGTTAGATGGTAAAATATGGCATAGCATTTTTAATTGGCTGCAGCAGCCAATTTTTGATTACGTTAACCTATCCGCAATGTCAATATAGGATTTCGATAGGCTAACACAACCAAAAATTGGCTGCTGCAACCAATTAAAAATGCTATGCCATATTTAACCATCTAATTTGCTGCAGCAGCCGATCTTTTTTTTCAGTGTAATATTAATATCAACACAGTGAGAATTATATATAGACATCGCATAGGTGTTAAATCCACACCGATATTTTTTAGAATGTATCACGTAAAATACACGCAGATAAAAACCGCAATGAGTTGAACTGCGACAGCGGAGACATTCTAAAATATTGATATTTTAATTTAAATCGGGATAGAGGAATTCTTACTACGCGTTTGATATTTTCCGTATCACGGAAATTTATAAAAAGAGTTCTGATAAATGAGCAAATATAAAATTCATTTCGGCTACTTTTTACTGTTCTGTCATTGATCAATGCAGTCGTAACGTAAAAGTTAACGTGACAGTCCAGTCAAGTCTATATGTAGATCGCTATTCGCAAAACACAGATCTTTTGCGTCTGCGTTTACGAACTACGTTTTGCGATTTGTGAATTATGTAAAGATAAACTTTAGATTCAGCGACGCGCGTCTCTCGCGTGTTAAAAGGATTCCATTTTGCAATCACATAACGCATTAATGTGCGGCGTTATAATAGTAAGTAAACTATAGAGTTTATCATCCAGTTAAATCGACAATTTAGCTTATTGTTGAGGCATAATGCCGCTAGAAAATTTCTTACGGCTTTTTTTTTCATCGGACACGGTAGTCGACCGCATGAGAAAGCGTCGAGATTGCGCCAACGGAAGACCGGATATCAATCGCATCTTTTTTAATGGTCTCGCTGCTGAGCGGATAATGGCTGTGCCAAACGTATCTCAACATCTCACAGTGACGTGAAAAGGTTGAGGCTGATGGATAAACACGATAGAGTCGCAATAAAATCCCGCACGTTGCATCGGAACGCAAGCGAGTCGTTGCAGAAAGGGCATGACTCAACTTTTCTACGAAAATAAGTTCTATCAGAGGGGAACATTGTACCGTTAGGGTAGCCTCGGCGATTTGCACAGGAAAGTCTCGAGTCGTTTAAGACAAGGCTCCTCTACGCAATTTCATTCTTAATTATTTTCGATCTGGAAAAAAAGACGTAAAGTGTCTCGCAAGAATATCTTTTACTCTTGAAAAATTTATTTCTTATGATATAATAATATCATATGAGCATTGATTGCATGATTAATAATTAAAAATAATCACGTCTTTTTACAATGATTAAAGACAATCTCATTTGATTACTTCTATTAAAATTTTGTTTTTTTATTATTTGCATATACATACTTTGCTGTAACGATTAAGATATTTTTGTTTCAATACATTATGCCAAAAAATGTAAAAGATAAAAGTAAAAGATAAAATTTTCTGTCTCTATACCTTTGAAAATTTTACGGTATCAGATATAAAAATTAAACTGAAATATTTTTTCTATGGAGAATATTTTAAGAAAGAATATGAAACTTTTTGTTCTCATTGCATCTATTTTGTTCTCATTTTACCCTTAAACCGTGTGATTCTTGTTGCGTGCTTGCTATTCGTATAATTTTTTCTGCAACGTGTAGATATAGATAATTTGTGTTCTTAAGGATTTATTCTTACATTCCCATAGAATTAAAGACATGATTGAAGTTTTAGTAATAGGGCTGTTATTTCCAATTTCGAGATGCCGTCGAAGACAAACGTTCGAGGAGGACGAGAATAATTAAGGATCATAAAATTATTTGCGTAATGGGCTTCTTAAAGCATCGCACGAGTATACCTCGTTTCTCAGCAGCCACGGGAGGTTGAGAAGTGTAATATTACTGAAGGGACTATAATATGATTTAGCGCGCGTTCTTGCCGTACGGTTCTGCATTAAGAGATTTCTTCTTTTTTTCGACTTTTACACACACACACACACACACACACACACACACACACACACACACACACAGATATATATATATATATATAAAACTTCTCGTACGCGATATGTTAATGCAACATGCAAGACGGCACGGGCGGATAATACCGAGGTGATACATCGCCAATTAAATCGCGCACTGTTATTTCCTATTAACTGTTCTTTTTCCACCTGCATAGCACATCAATTAAATAATTAAGTAAGCGCGCGATCCGCTGCAGCACGTTCGGAGAAAGGAAATGTAGGAAGCAGGAAACGCTACAATTGCCATGGGATTCTTCTGTGATTTCTCGCGCGTTACTTTCCGCGTGTTCACAATTGAGGACTCGGGTTCTCTCCGAATGAGTAGGAAACTGTAAAGTCTTTAACGAGCCTTAACAAACTACTCTTCGAAAGCCTGCCATTTGTGATTTTACGGAACAATCCGAGCGATTATTATAATGTATGTCGCTTGATAAGAATGATAAGTACAAAAAAGATATATAGAAAAAACTAAATAAACGTTTTCATCATAAATATTGAACATTTCACACTTGATATCTTAATAAATTAAGCTTCTTGGTAATTAGATTTTCTTCCCAAAATGCATCAATGTTTTTTCTTTTTCAAATATATTAATATTCATTCAGAAAGAATTTTATCTATTCATAAAAAATTATTAATTTTTAATTAGTTATATTAAATTACAAAAGCTTGAATGTTTTCTTGAATCTTTGAATAATGAATAATTCATCAATAGAAATAAGAGTCAATAAATATGAGATGGCCTGTATCTTTTGTTATTCTTTAATTCTTAACTTATTATAAATATTATAACGCCCATCATGCGTCTCAAAGCATTTTGTTAATCGCTCTCGATTTCGATGTAGTTTATATATAGCGCATCGTTAATTAATATAACTATCTTTATCGAACATGAATCTGGCACTAATAAATGGCCCATTCTACCCGTCACGTTAATCGATTGCTCTTGAATTATGCACTCACCGCAATTTAAGCCTATAGCAAATTTTATTTTGAGAACAAGGATGAGTATCGGCACAAATAACCCGAATCTATTTTTACTTTTTACTAACGATTGATAGCCAGTTCGACATTTAAGCTGCCGTTCTGCATATTTATAGCGCGGTAATGCTCCTTCGAACTACGTCTTTCACTTTCACGTGTTGTTTTATCCTTTTTTACACAGGGTGTTTCACAACCATACGATATATTCTACTGATCATACGATATTCTAATAGGATATTTAATAAATTAAGAATTAAAGACAAAGATTTTAATATGAAAATATCAAGATTGTCATTATAATTCGAGTTATAAACAAATATTAAGTTGATTAATATTATCATGTAGAGAGTTTATGCTTTCGATGTTTCGTATCTCACATTTCAATTCGTTTCAAATGATAAGATAGGGGAAGGCATCTGATTGCGACTGATATTGGACGAAGATTGTTTAAAATTTTAAACGCGTTGCAGTATTTATCAAACCACTAGTACTTGCCAAGTCTACTTCCACGATGAAAATCGGAATTTCTTCATATCGAGGAATGAAATAGAACATGGAAGAAAATTTAAATGAAGATTTTAAACATTAAAATATTGTATTTTAGCTGTTCTATTTTTCATTTTTTTTCTCTTTTTCTTTATTTTTCATTATTTATCTATATAGCAAACAAAAAAATTTAATTAAAGTACCTTTGATAAATTATCCAAATATCGTTATTAATATATTATGCACTTATAGTGTTCAATAATCTTTCTTGAAAATCTTGTGCAATATGCTTAGCAAAAAAGAATAATATTTTTATCGATAGAAAATTACTTTATCTTGTTACCACTTTTTATCGAGTTTATTGAATTTATGAAATATTTCCTGTTTCACATAACATAAGTTTCAGAATTAAATGTAGTGCTAAATATCTGTTTTAGTATATCTATTAAAAAAAGTAATGAATGTATTATGGAAGTATGTATTATATTTGTAATACTTTTGTATTTCTGACTGCGTACATACATTTTACGTATATTCGATAAACTTTCTCACATATCCATTATCTCGATTTCAAAGAATATGAAATACATCACTCACCAATACGATGCGCAACAGCAGAATTGTAATGCTACGTTGATCTGTAAAGGATAAATACGTCTAAATTAAAATACAGCTTCGAAAATAACCAATATTTCAGGAAATAATTGCATCGCGCGCATAAAGGTTAAAGTAAATCTCCGGTAGCCGGACGTTTAAGCGTTAGATTCTCATAAATAATACAATTTATAATATCAAAAAAGTTTTTAATATAAATATTTGTATTCATTTGAAAACTCAAGACTCTCTTAAGCAAGGAAAATTATTGGAACCTACTTATAACAATTATTAATTAAAATATTTAAATAAATAATAGAATGCGTCAATGTACCAGTGGCCGAACAAACCAGTCGGACACTGAGATGTAATTGTCCCAGTGTCCGACCACAATTGGAAAATTGATATGCTGACGGAAAATAATAATATAAATAGATGTTTAATGACAAAGGACAACTAATTTAAGTTGATCTTTAAGGTGAAAAAAGCATTTGAGATTAACATTAATATAAATAAATAAAGTTTTGTGTAACTATCCGGACATAGGTATTATCCGATCCCAGTGACATGTACCTATGTCCGGACATAATTAATAAAGTTTTGTGTAACCGGACATAGGTATACTATCCGATCCCAGTGACATGTACCTGTCCGGACATAATCTATGTCCATTTATATAACACTTTATTTATTTAAGTTAATATTAGTCTCAAATACGCTTTTTAAAACATAATATTATAATTTAATCGTAATTTTTAAATGCAATTAAATTATGATACTGTAATAAAAAAAGCATTTGAGATTAATAATAATAAATTTTGTGTAAGTGTCCGGACATAGGACATTAGGATGTTTACCTTAGTGTTATACTGTCTGATGTAATATATAATATGTCTGGACACTGGGACGTTTACCTTATACATGATTAAATCCGACAGTAAGACAAATAAAATAGTAAATAATGAGTTATTCACTCTGTAGGTTGCTCCGCCAACGCTCGATGCCTCTCCGAGCTTCCCTCTCCTCTCTTCATCCGTTCTTTTGTTGTTTTCTAGCAGTATTCTACAACGCTTATTTGCAAAAACATAAAACGAATTAATTACGATTATCACAAAATCGTAGGTACAACACTTTGCACAGTACTTCCAACGTCGATAGACGTACGCTTTATTATGTCGAGATAAATAACGCAACAATACTATAACAACATCAATTACGATTTGACAATATTCCGTGAGAATGAGAATTTTTATTTTAACAAATATAATATACGCCAAATGTGATGATACGTTAAAATACCACACTTCATATATCACGACAACGTACACTAATCAAACGCGACCCAATGCCACTCGATTCGGAATCGGTCTGTTTAATTTCGCTAGCGCGCGCGCAATCAAGAAATTCGTCAGCTTGATATCGCATAATATGACGCGATTGATAAAACTGAGATAACGATTAAATGAGACACGATGGATCGAAAATCAAATGCATAAATTCTACGAGAGGAACATGTATTAATAAACAGTTGCTAAAATATGGTTTTCCGTTACGTTTAAATTACTTGCACGAGCTCCGGTGATTCGGATGCGGTGATTTATGTCTCAAAATGCAATTATGTTTAATTGCAAAAAATTAGAAGCGCAACGCGAGATATATTCGAATCCGAGAGTCGCGGGAGAAACAATTGCCCGTAAATATTGCGAAACGATAATTTACAGTTCAAGTTTCCTATTTCCTTCCGCAAGTGAATGAATCGATACGCTTTATCGTGAGACGATAATCGCTATTTGCTCGCGTTCTCTATTTATATGTACCTGTCGCAATTGCGTAATCGAGGGGTAATGATGCGGAGCAACTTGCTTACTCGCTCGAGTCTTATCGCACGAATGACAACCACGATTGCCACTGGTCAACTCTTTGATTTTTAGCCGGAGAGAAACTCCGGTTTTTTTAACGAATTTCCGGGATTTCCGAGATCCTAGATGGATAAAATCTTCGATTAAAGATGTTCTAAATTTTGATAATTTGTTTTTAATTTCACGGTCTCGGAATCATTGGGTGAATTATCGCTATTATTCGCTAGTTTTCTCTAAACTTAATTATTCGCTTATCACTGTAATCATTAAATGTATCGTCAAATTTTATGAAGTATTGATAGACCTCCCACAATCGGTTTTTGTTTTGTATTTGACTGAACCAATCATGTGTCAACGTTACAAAAATATAAAATGTGTCAAAAATATAACTTATAGGAGGATATTTATTCCGGAGAACGTTTGACCTTTTATTCTATTGCGGAAAATGACTCAAAGAGTCGAAACGTTCAACCAAGTAATTTCAATAAAGAACATTTTTGCACAAATTACTTAGCGCTCCAATTACCATTCTAACTAAAACTTTCATTTTTACGTTTTAATTGTTTACGATTTCGAGAGTGTTTTAGAATTTACTTACTTTTTTTGAAGTAGACGCATCAATTTTCCTCCGATTTCCAAAAGAAATCTCAGAAGGGCTAAATCTGATAAAGAGAGATCTTTTAAAGAGAGCACGGACTACTACAAAAAAGTAACAAGTTCGATAATAATAATCGGTCTCCAACAGGAAATACTAGTTGAAAAATGACAACCGTAAACACGATAATAAGTACTTGATTTTGCAATAACACACGGCATGTACAAATAAACACTAGGAGTGTATTGCTTATCAGATTAATTATTAATAATCAAATTTTAATTATTAGTATTCCTTAAATAATTATTAATATCTTTACAGATTAATTATTAATAATTGCGATGTGACATGGTTACTTGAATAGCGACTCGATCTGAATAATAAGGAATATGTGCAAATCGGTGAAAAGTTTAATTAATAAAGAAAGTTATATTTCAATCTAGACATTAAGAAAATATTCGTCATCCATAAATTTCACAGTGAAACAATTTATAATTACAATTTTCTGTCGGTACGATTTCTATTTTAAATGAATAAATCGCGCCAAATGTTTACTTAGATAATCGTTTTGTCGGCACACAGCTGTTAGTCGTATTAATTAAGCAAGGTTATTATTTGATTTGTATTCACGTTGTAATTATTTGCAAGGGATAATCGGGTTTCGAGAGATAATAATACACTGAGTGGATCGTATCGTTACACTTGCCGGCTGGAGTATCGCCGCACGAATGACACAAGGTAATCGCGTGTAAACAGTGAGCCATATGATGCTAAGGATCATATATACAGCAATCCGTTAGCTACGAAATTTTTAATATTTTGAATAAATGTCTATTCCTTGCATTTTAAATTCCTGATTCATGGATTATCGCGTATTAATATCTATGTTTATTCAAAGAATAAGAGTCAATTTGAATGTAAAATTACGTTAATTATTACTATGTGAAATACTAATTTATTACCTTGTGAAGTAATAGAATTTATTGTTACTTTTTGCTAAATTTTTACGAAAGGAATAATATTGCGAGATATTAATAAATTAAGAACTTTTTTGCGATTTTAATAAATCAAAAAAATTAAAAAACGTCGTCGTGGAAAATGTGATGCATGTTTTTTGATCTTATTAAAGTCACGCAATTTCATTATTCTGGTGACATAAAAATTTGACAAAAAAAATAATAAATTATAATCACTATTTTTCGATAAAATGAAAATAAATTTTACTTTTTATATTTAAATTTACGCGTAGATACATTATTTTAAAACAGAATAATTATTTCATTATTTAAATTTTTATTACAGACATTATTAAATAATTTGCAAGTAAAAGAATTTATTTATTTATTAAAATTTGTTGTTAATAATCACGTTAATATTTGCTAATTATTATGTATGTAATACTTATTATACATAAGATATCAAAAGATAAAGTCAGTCAAACGATAAAAATCAATATCATCCGAACTGTGAAAATCAACAACAGATAGATCGGCATGTGTATAAATATTGTTAAGGGACTTCGATATGCGTATTTTACGCGATATTCTTTTGTCAACTTTCGTTTAAAATTAAAAAACAATGTCGCGTTTTAATATTCACGTATTAATATTTGTAATTCTACACTGAAAGAAAAGGTTGGCTACTGCAGCAAATTAGGTAAAATATGGCATAGCATTTTTAATAGACTGCAACAGTCAATTTTTGGTTGCGTTAGCCAATCGAAATCCTATACTGACATTGCGGATAGGCTAACACAACCAAAAATTGGCTGTTGCAGCCAATTAAAAAATGCTATGCCATATTTTACCATCTAATTTGCTGCAGCAGCCAATCTTTTTTTTTCAGTGTATAATTAATCTCTAGAATCACACGACATAATGTACGTATACACGGAAAGAATGTTTAAAAAATTTAGCTAAATACAGATCTAAAAATAATTTTGTTGGATTATCAAAATAATTATGTAGGACGATCAAACTGCTTAGAATGTCAAAACTTTTTACAACGTTATCATTAATAATACTTAAGCGTTCTACCTAATCATCTAATGGCCTAACGAAATTATTTTCAGATCTGTATCTAGCTACATTTTTACTTAAGTTAAACCATTCTTTCCGTGTATATTTGCTCTTTAATTGTTATCCTCAACGTCAGAATTGCACGTTTATTTTTACTTACTTAAAACTGCTCGAGTTCTTGATTTTTCTTTGTTTTCGAATAATAAAGACACAACTGCAGATAGGATTCTCGTTACAAGAGGAAGTAAATTAAGAGGAAGTGCAGTTTTGATGATCATTTTTTAAACATTTTCTCACTCGATTCGACGAGCGTGCAAGACAGTGCGACGTAAGTTATACGCGAGTTTCTCACGCGCAGTTAAACAGCGGCGGAGCAATGTACGGCAAATAATTTACCGCGTGTCCAGTTTTCAGCGAACCAGCGGTAATGCCCGATGCACGCGAAATCGCGAATTCTCTCCTGGCAACGATGACGGCAGCCAAATGATTCACGCATTTCCGCGTGAATCTATTATCGCTGCGAATATCGTCGTGTGGCGTTTACGACATGCGTGTCGCGTTCACGCCGTGTAGTCACAGGCATTGTGACGTAGCTACGCGAACGCAGGCGCACGATATACATTTTTATATGCAAGTGCAGTAATGTCTATAATTTGTACGTTTGCTTAGTGCAATTACCGGCGGTGAACGTAACAGTATTTTAAAGTGAGCACTTGAAGCGAGGAGCAGCCGGCTCGCCGGATATAATCGTTTCGTATATCATTACGCTTGTAATATGTCATCTGTATTTTTTTTCTAACGAAGGTCGCGTTTGCGTTACACAAGAAAAGAAAATTTCGACCGTTACGTTCGACAATTATTTGCCTGTAACTTCGCGGAACGTTTAACCTTATCGTCTGGTAGCGGAATTTCGACGCGATTGAGATTATATCGGTACGTCGAACATTGAAGATCACAACCCGCGTTTATCCCTTTTATATCTCGGAAGGAGATATCGTGACGCGAATAACGGCTTTCTCTCCGCTCTAGTTGAGTAGAACTACAGTCTAACTCGAGAAGGATGACATCGCGTGGTATTGTACAAGGTGTACTTAAAAAACATCGCTAGTTCTTCTTTTCCATAAATTTTGTATTAATCTTTGTCTAGTGAATATTCGCGATCGGATGCTATTATGAGTTTTCACGACTTTTAAGAAGTTAAATATCTACATAATCGAGCTTTAAATAAAAATTATAGGACGGCAAAGTATATTCAAGTTAAATAATGTTTCTCAAAAAGATATATTGAATAAATATTTATTTTCTGTAAGCAAATGTCCCATTTTTACTATCTAAACAAATCGTTTTACGTTAGTTTTATGAGCGTTTTCAAACTTTTGCAATTAAAAAAGATATCGATATAACGCAAAAAAATCTGTATTAGTCTTGATGTTGTTTACACAGAAAAATTCATTTTGCTGATATCGATTTAAAAATAATTTTGAACCATCAAAATAATTATGTAAGAAACTCAAGCAAGACAAACATGCCGTAAAAAGTTTTAATGTTTCAGCAATTAGCTTGAGCATCCTGCACAATTATTTTGTGATAATCTAACAATATTATTTTCAGATCTGCACTGAAAAAAAATACGAAATTTGAATAAATATTTGTTTAGATAATAATAAGATTGAAAATGTCAGCAAAATGAATTTTTCTGTGTAAACAACATCAAGACTAATACAGATTTTTTTGCGTTATATCGATATCTTTTTTA